ATGCAACTACTGCTTGCGGCGGATGTTTTGCAATGCCAGGGCAACCAGCAGCAGGGTGCAGTTTTAGCGTCCCTTTCGTGGGTTTACGGTTGGGATCAGAAACTTAACCTTAGACCTCAAGGAATAGGTCACGGCTTAGGGCTTTGGGTTTGTGTGTTGTGTGGATGGGCCTGGGGGTTCCAAACCGAGGTGCGCTTGGGGACCACAGAAATATCTAGGGATGACAGTGCCGATACTGTTTAGCGTTTAGGGTTGAGGGTTTAGGGGTTTAGTAGTTACGTTTAAAAAGCATGCCGCCCTCCATATGGACCAAAAGAAGCACCTTTGGAACTGCAAAACCTGAATTTACCACCCAACCCCTCATCTCTAAACCCTAGAAAAACTAAACTCGATATGGTTAGTTGCCCAAATTAGGGTCCCATTTTGGTCCCCCTAAATATTAGGTGCCGTAATATGAGGTTTACCCCAAAGGGGCCCATAGTTTAGGGAAGTACCCATTTCCTATACCTAGAGCAACCTGTGTACCTATAAAACATGGCTTTGTACCCAGTATGTTGGTCTTATTCTTATCTTTTGTTTAAGTCGGCATAAGGTCACTCTAAGTACCCTAAGCCATGAACCCTAAACCCAAAATCACAAACTTTTTGGGGGGCTCAGCACTGCTACTCTGTGTCGTAGGTTACAGGCATTCGGGCCCTGCTGCATGTGAAGCAGAAGTCTGAATTTTGGGCCGTTTCCAAGCAAGAAGGGCATCAAAAGCTATCTAGGGCTTAGGGTGTAGAGTATGACACCATTAACCGTCATCATTCACCACCAAAAAACAAGAAGCATATGAGCAACTATCATGAACATTTGGGAGGTGCAAGTGTCTCTTACAAAGGGAATTGCCTGCCTAAGTGGTCCGTCCCCGACAGGGAGCCCCCTACTTGGAAACTGCCATGTGCGTGTCCTAAAGAAGGACAAAACTGACCCTGCAAGGTCTGGAAAAGGCCTAGGGTGTACCTAGACCCCCAAGTGCCCTCTATAGAGCCGAACTACCCCCAAATAGGACCTACATAGATCCCTTTTAGGGGTACTTTGGGGGGGGTCCTGGTAGGGTGTGAGGTTTTAGGGTTTAGGCTGCATACTGTTCAGGGTTTCGGGCTTAGGCTTTCGGCTTTGAGCTTTAGGATTTCGAGCTGAGGGTTCAGGTTTAGGTTTCAGGCTTTCACGTTAAGGTTTCCAGTCTAAGGCTTCGGGATTTGGGGCTTCAGGATTTAGAGCCTATAAGTTCTAGGTTTGAGGGTTTAGGGCCGTCGTCTTGGGCTGGAGGTGTTGGATCAAGAGCTGATTCTTTGGGGAAGCTGGGGTGGAATTCATGAACTTGCCCCAGTAGGCAGACATGCTGAACATGCTTTGGGATTTAGGCTTCAGTGTTTAGGGTACGCGAAACGATTAGAACTCGGTGCCTAAAACGCGTTACACCGTTCATGGAAGAAATCCTGCACCACCCTAAAATCCTAATCCAATAATAACCTACGGGATCGCCAAGTCTACGGTGGCTACTTATAAGATACTTCATCTACCATTTTTAAGCTCTGGGCTGGCCCATCTTCAAAGAGACACAGACAGAGAGAGGGTTTTGGGTTTAGAGTTTAGGGGTTTCAGGGTACCCTAAACCCGAATCCCTTAACCCTAATCCCCAAACCCTAAACCCTATAATCCCTAATCCCTAAACCTTAAACCCTAAACCCTGATCGGCTATGGGTTCGAGATCTGAGTCAAACATATGGGGGGGGGTCCTACATTGCTGCTCCCAAGTACGGGGAACCATTACAGGGAGGTTCTGGGTAGTAGGCTTATACTCTACAACTCCAGTGGGATCCTTATATGTGGACTCTCAACACAAAAACTTGAAGCCCAAGACCCTCTTGGTTTCCTATTAAGGAACTTACATTGAAGTACATAATCTGGAGACCTCGCCATGGAAGTACGTAATCTGGAGACCCTGCCTTAATCAAGTTACCATCATCTGGAAACGGTTCTATGACAACCTAATTTGATGTTTTTGAACAGCCACCCCCTCTCCCGACATTTTCGCAGCTTCTATAACCTAAACCCTCATCCCTAGACCCGAATCCCTTAAACCGAAACCAAACTAAACCCTGAACCCTAGTCCCTAAACCCTGACCCCTCCAACAATCCCTTGCTCCTGAAGCCTATACCCTGAACCCTAACCTCTTGTCCCTTAAGACCTAAGCCCTGAACCCTCATCCCTTGGCAATAATCCTTTACTACAGGGGCCTAAATAATTGGTATTTTTTTTGAGGTACCATATACCCATATACTATGCTTATACAAGAAATATGGTACCATAATGTAGGTACTTATTCCCTAAACCCTAAATCTGAGGAATATGGAACCATAATATTGGAAATTATTTAGGCCCCCATCGTATTCTACCTTTACAGACCCGCAGGGCATCCGCATGGATCAAGCGCGCTGCAGCTGCAGAGATCTTTTGCTCTGCCGCAGCATGTGGCTCCATTGCCATTATCTACCTATCTATCTATCTATCTATCAATTTGTCTGTATACATATGTACATGGCATGTATGTGTATGTGTATATATAGATAGATGTATAGATATAGAGATAGATATAGATATATGTGCGTATAACTCTGTCTAGATGTATATATTCGCATATCAATATACGTATGCATGTGGGTTCATAAACATGTATATAAACACGTGTATAGTTGGAGTTCTGAAGTTCAGGGTTTAGGGCTTAGTAAAAGCCATTCTCCTGGTTGCATCCTTCGTGTGGCTAAATAGGGGTTATATGGGGACTATCAGGTTGATGAAAAAATCAGGCTGGTGAAGGCTGACCACGGGGCAGCCTACGCTTCTACCTAGGTTCTCAAGTTGTTTTGGGTTTTGGGTTGGGATTCCAATGCCTGTGCTAGAGGCTGTGAACTAAAGAGATAAGGGAACGTCGTGATGGGAACCGCTTTTACGTTCATTCATATATAGTGGCTTCCCAAATTGGGGGACCCCAATACAGACCCCAACATACTACAACGGAAATCCTTAGTAAAGGGGCCTCCCAAAAAAGTATCCCTAATTTGGGAAACCTCCCTAAACCCGAATCGCTAGATCCTAAATATGTATATGTATATATATATCTACACGTAGGTTCATTTATACAGTACATCCGTCACCCTTGAACAGAACCTGTGAAGACTGAAACAACAAATGAGCAAACCGGGCTTTGGAATGTAGGGAATTATAATATGTACATCATGAAGCAGAACGCCCCCGTGCATCCTTTATGCGATACTCTTGAGAGTCCCAAAACCTACATAGGAAAACCCTAAACCCTGAAGCCTAATGAAATATAGCACCCCAAAAGGGATGCCATTAGGAGTCTTGGTCTCCGTTGTAGAAGCGCTGCTGCCTGCCTTACCAGTGCTCCCCAAAGAGTGAAGGAAGATCAAGGCACTTGAACATGCCTGCCAGCGTTTTGGGTTTGGGGTTTAGGATTGAAGGTTTTGGGGTTTGGGGTTTTGGGGTTCTTTAGGGTTTGGGGTTTAGGATTTAAGGGTTTTGGAGTCTGGGGTTTATAATTGGTTTGAAAGGTTCAGGACAGTAGGCTACAAGGAGGTTATACGCAGTCGACCCCAATTAGGGGACTTGAGACAGCCTTCAGGTACAGGCTTAGGACGGTACGGGGTTTAGGGGTGTAGGGGCCTACTAAAGTCGGGCCATACAGAGATCTGACGTGCCTCTAACAGAGATGCCTCTCGGGCTACTGCCCCACCCCACAGCAGTGATGAAACGTCTCCCTGTTGATGCCAATATTGCATGGCTTACCCTAAGGGTCCAAGGACCCAAATAATAGGGCTTTAGGGCCCAAATGGTAGAATGTGAATGGTATTTTGGCCCCAAAACCCTATTATTTAGGCTGTTGTAGGGAGGGGGCAGTATCTGACCTTGGAGGTTCAGTGTAAAATATAACCCGACTATAACTGGTGACTATATCGCAGTTAGTGTGAACTCGCTTGGATGCAAGCTAGAAGTCCACAGAATTTAGCTTGCCTCTTGGCTAGCTGCGCATCCTACAGTAAACTGTCATAGATGGGTATTGGGATATCCCGCGAAATGGTCCAAGCCCTTCTTAGCTTCACCCTAAACCCTAAACCCTAAACCCTGAAACTTACTTCGCTGAGCTCCAAGCCCAAGGACCCCTCAACGGTTTAGGGTTTAGGGTTTAGGTTTTTTTTTTGTGGGACCTTTTCTCCGCAGCACATGTCTACGGAAATGTTCTTGAACACGGTCCAGACAACCACAGCCCCAGGAAAAGCTGCGCATCCTCTCAAGCAGAGCTTTCGGACCTGGAAAGAAAACCCTGTATACAGGGAGGACCTTGGGCTAGCCCCTACGGCAGTACTCAGAAAGGCAAGGACAGACCTTCAGCCAGTATATCTGTACCCTGACCAAATTCCACCCCTCAGGCAACATCTGTACTCTGACCACATTCCACTACTCAGGAAAAAGCACCGAGAGCCTCAGACTCTCACTACTTTAACCAACCTTTAAGGTCAGTTTGCTTCATCCCTGACGACCCCTCAGAGGTTGATGCCACATGTTGCCGTAGGTCTCGTTTTGTATGCAGGTGGTTTGAACAGTAAGAAAAATTTAAAGTTGAAACCTAATGAAAAATTTCCGAATCTGCGTCCAACATCAAAATAAATAAAATATTTGATTGGAATGGTTCAGAAAATTTCTTGCAATTAGGTTCTGAATGGCATTGCAATTATGTTTTTGAGAATTGGTTCTTTGGGCTGGCAGAGATTCTTAAATTTGGATTTGAAATGTCTTGAAAATTTTCATATTTTTTATTTTTGTGATATTTTGAAATTTCTTATGCTTGTTTGAAAATGAAACTTAATATATGACAAATTCAAAAAATGAATAAATAAATAGAATTGATTTGAAAAAATATCACTTCCCATTCCACGCAATCGCATCATCTTCCATACTCGACGACTGGCTCGGAGTTGGCCCGGCGCCATGCTGAAAGTCCCCGTGGCTCAATGCCGAGTCCGGCAGTCCGGCCCCGATAGCCGGATCGTTCCATGCTGCCAACACTCTCTGCCATGCGCTAGGCACCACGTACGGCTCAGCTGCACTCATCCCAGGATCCACATCCATGTCGACGGCGTTGCGGTCCAACGATGCATCCAAAGCCGCACTAGCATTGCCCTCCACATCATCCATGTGCTGCGCAGCCTGCGTGTCCTCATTCCACGATTCGAGAGCACTAGGTCGTATGCCTTCATGTTCTGGAGCGTCATCAGCCCCCTCTTCTGCGCCAGGTTCGAGTCCATCTCCACCCTCAGCACTGCCGGAACCTCGAGGTAGTGCAGAATCGGGTCCTCCTGGCGGCACCACCAACTTCTAGTCGAGCCAGCATGACCCTCCTCCACCTCTGCATCTCCGGTGCCTTCCACAGGCCCGTCCTGCTCCGACTCCGCCAATTGTGAGTGCTCCCCATGTCCTTCAATGTGCGCCACCTCCGCCCCGGTCAAGGAGGAGTGCTCCACATCTCTTCGTCCGTGCTGCTCAGCATCGACCGTGGAGCTGGTAGACGACGAGGCGCGGCCATCTCCCTCACAGTCAAACATTGGCCCCTCAGCCACATTCCTCACCATATGGTCGGTGTCCTCTTGCATGGCATGCCACATTTGGAAGGCTTCTGCTATTGCCATGCCGAACCTGTCTTCAATGACCTGCAAGCTGGCCGCTCCAACACTGAATTGCCAAAGCCAGTGCCGTCCTTCGACCGAGGCCATGAAGTCACCGACAGGCTCAGGTAGTCCAGGGAGATGGTCTCTTTCAAACCTTGCAAGTTGTGGCTCAGCTTTCCGATGCCTCCGACTAGCCCCTCGCTAACCGTGAATGTCACAACTGCCTGTTGGTCATGGTTCAGCACCACCTCGATGCACGCTTGCCCAATTTCTTCTGCCACCGCCCTGTCGTGTGCACGAAATTCCGCAACCTCTTGGGCGGAAGCCTCTTCCCAGAGGGCCATCGGCTGACCTGCGTACTCTGTACTCAGGAACTTCCGACACATTCGCCTCCATGGAGTCCGCAACATGCACAACATCTGTGGAGGACGCTGCTCTGGTAGTTCCTGTGGCGCCTTCGCCTCGCCGACCCTGTTCACCCTCTTCTCCGGCATGTCGAGGGGATACGCAGTCTGGGGTGTTGCCGCCATTGAGGTAGGGCACCATGATGCGCAATTGGCTTTCACTCCACACCTGCAGTGACATTGGTACCTCCACATCTTCAGTGTGGTAGGAAGCGATGAGGGCCTCCAGTCGTTGGAACCTGTCTGTGACCTGAGCACTTGTTCGCCCTGCAAGTCGCCTGAGACGTTCCACCATGATGAAGTAGTGCACACTGGCTGTCATCAAACCCCGTTCAGGTGCCCCTGTAGTTGACTGAGCTTGGACCCAAACGGGATGCTGGGATCAAAGGCCTGCATCAGGCTGGAGACATCCGTGCCGTCGTGGGCGACCTCTTCTACGAGCTGAACCTGAAACAGCGCCTGCTCGTCGTCCTCGATCATTGTTCAAGACACGCTCATTCTCTTCCATTGGGTCCTGGAGCCCAACGATTTCGCTCCACCAGATGATGTTAGCGGAGCCTTCGCCAAGTGGAGGCATAGCCGGCACCGATCCACTGGCCGGTGTCGTGGCCGCCACCACCATCGGTGCCGAAGAGGGCCTCGAGGAGCAAGCTGCGCGTTCTCTCCCTCTTTCCATGGCGCATCCAAAGGCCGCCTGGAGGCGGTTTCGGTGGTAGCCCTGGTTCTCCCCGCCCCTGTAGTCCACGAGTGACGTCTCTCCCGTCTTTGTCTTTCCTCATCCTTTCTAGCCCTTTCCCGCCTGCGTCTCCGGGGAGTTGGTGAGCGGCCCCGCTTCCTTTGCATCAGGTTCATGACGTCGCCGAGCTCAAACTGGTCCCCGCCAAGGTCGGTGTCGCCTCCCTGGGAGTGCCCCTGCGCAGGCGCAGGACCACTTGCAACCTGTGTCAGGCCCTCATCATCTCCAACCCCTATGTCACCCTTACGTAGTTGCCCTTCTGACCCTCGGTCACTGCCCTGGCTTTTTCCTCGGTGGCCAGGTCTAAGCTGTACCTTTGTAGTTCTTCCTGCCAACGTGGTTTCACCCTGGTCCAACTTGCCCTGGTATTCTTGACCCTGCCCTTGTAGCCAACTCGATGCCTCTTCACTGCTTCCTCGACAATGGTCTGGTCGTCCGTGACGGGGTGGGAACTCTGCATCACTCGACTCGCCCGCAACCGTCACAACCCTGATTCCAACGGTTGTCCCATCTCGCGGGTCTCTGTTAGGAGGAGCCCACTCCGAAGTAGCTACCTCGGTGCTACCTTGGTCTTGTCGTCCAGAGCGAGGCGGTTCTCCTGGAGCTTGACCATACATTGCCGTCTTGTACTCCCCGGTGATCCAGCCGCCGATGGCCATGCCTGTGCTCCCATCCTTGGGGGTGTTATCAGCGGCGGCATCCACTAGGCTAGTGGTATCTCTGCAGCAAGTACGCATCTGCCGGCATTCCCATCCTTGATCGTGTCCCTGAAGGGAAAGTGGTTGTCTTTCAGAAAGCAAGCACACAGGATTCATTACCTCATCATCACGAAGAGATAGTCCAGCATGATTGCGGCATTCACTCCCTTGAGGAGATACTCGCGTGAAATTGGTACTAGCTCCTCGGGCCACGAGGACCAGAGGAAGAAACACATGAAAATACTTGTAGGTCGTGCGGTCCGCCATGGCTACAACCCTAGTCGTTGAAAGGGAAGGAGCTGTGCTGTCACTGCGGAACTTGAGCCAAAATGGCTAGGGTTTAGGGTTTAGGGTTTAGGGCTTTAACCCCGAATCCAACACCAAGACCCTAAAACCACAGGACGCGCTAGGGACGTTTGAGCTGGTGGAGGAACACTATTGAAGCCTTCGCTAGAAACTCCTCTTGAATGTTGGGTGCATGTGGGGAAGTAAACTTAGCCACGCTGCTGATAATAAAAATCCTGCATGACCTTAGTCTAGTATAATCCCCTGTTTCCCAGATTATAAGGTATTTTACGGTCATGCAGAACTTTTAGTAAAACCCGTATTACGGCATATTGTACTACCGCATATTTAGGGGTGACAAAATGGGACCCTAATTGAGGAAACCACCCAAATGCCAGGTTTCGAGCTTAGACAGGGATGTACTTGGAGGGTCAGTGTCAGAGGGACCTTGGTAAGCAATGGAAAATACAATGGAAAGTATTCTCTTCATTAATTTAGGGCTTGAGGGTTTAGGGTCAGGGAGACAGAGTAAGTAGGTTATGAACCCCTTTTGCCCATAGAGTAACCCTAGTTATCCCACTTATTCACCTACTTACTATAGTCCCCCTGATTCTCTAAGTATCCCCGAAACCCTAAACCCTAAGACTTAAACCCTAAATCCTGAACCCTAAACCCTGAACCCCTAACCCTAAATCCAAAATCCCGAAGCCCTAAACCCTAAGATTTCTAAACCCTAAATAGTAGTAGTTTCCATGTGTTTTCCATATCCCTATATAGCCCCTATGAATCCCTCATATTTCCCTCCCAAACCCTAAACCCTTACACCCTAAACCCCTAAAACCCTAAACTCCAAAACCCTTAAACCCTAAACCCCAAAACCGAAACCAAAAAACCCTAAATCCAAAATCCCGAAACCCTGAGCCTTCGTGGCCACGACTATTGGGATGCGCGTTGTCTCGGCTCGCGCCTTCCGGCCAGTGGCCCTTCCTTGGCTTTTAGCAGGATATAGGGTTTAGGGGTTTAGGGGTTTACGGTTTTAGGGGTTAAGGGTTTAGGTTTGGAGTTTAGGGCTTATGGTTTAGGATCTGGGGTTTAGGACGTACCTGAACCCCAAAAGTAGGAGTAAAATAACGGCCATATGGGCTATTGTGAAGGATTTCGGGCGATTTTGTTTACCTACTTTTGGGGATTCAGGTATGTTTAAGATAACCCTAAGCATCCAAGGATTCATATTTGAAGGAATTTGGGCCCAAAGGCTATACTATATAAGTTGGGTAGTGCCCCCCCTCAGTAACCCTTGGGTAGTAAGTAAAATATCCCCTAATATAGACTGTTACTGGGGGGCGGTACCCAAGGCTCAGGTATGTGTAAGATAAGAGGTGTCAGAAACTCTGCTTGGACCTCTGCTTTGGTTCTTCTGAATAAGAGGAGGCTTTAAGTTGGGCCCTAAGACCCTATTATTTGGGTCTAATTGGGTCCCTTTAAAGGGGATCTATAGGGGTATATAGGGATCTATAGGAGTATATAGGGTTGAGGGGTCCAATACCCGATAATCAGGTACTTGGGATTTTGGTGATAGAATTTTTTGGTACAGGTTTTGGGTAAGTATATGATTATTGGGTACTTGGACCCTCACGGTTTAACTGGGAAGGTCTAGTAGTTGTTTAAGTTTTAAGGTTTACTGTGGTGGACGCATAGTATAGGTACGGCTGAAGTTTCCTTACAAAGAGGGCTCCCCAAGATAGAAGCTGGGCTATAAGTGCGCTAAGGTTTAGGGTTTAGGGATAGGTATGGCTATAAGTGCCGTAAACTGTAGTTATGTACTTGTAAGTATCGTTCTGTAAATAGTAAAAGCCCTACAGTAAACCCTTAAACTACACCCTAAACAACTACAGGGCCCCACCTGTGACCTGACTATAAGAACACTTTGCCCAGCATGCCAGGAGTTGGTTGGCAGCAGCGAGCCGACGACATCTTAAGGCATACGCGTGAGGAATGTAGCCCCCACGCAGTTTAGGGTTTGGGGTTGATAAAAAAGATTAGGGCTTAAGGCATTTAAGGGGAAGAAGAATGGGATCCGGAGAGGCCCCTTGTCAGAAAGAGCCGCTCAATACTCAATACCTAGGCGGGCCCTGGATGTCCTACCTTTTTGGGGATATACCCCATAGATATGTAAGACAGAACCCCAAAAAAGAAGGACGTACAGGGTCCAGGCAGAGAGTCCTGGAGAATGATGATGTGATTTTCTAAGCCCTCAACCATAAGCCCCAAGCCCTCAACCGTAAGCCCTAAGTCCCAAACCCTAAGCCCTAAACCCTCAACCCTAAACCCTCAGCCCTAAACCCTCAACTTTCACCCCTAAACTCTGGGTTCAGGGCCGAGTTTAGGGCTTCGGGCTTATGATGAGAAAGCTGTTTTCCTGAAAGCAGCATATAAAAGGCCAGTAACCCAAGGCAGTTCTTTGTGGATCTTGTGCTATTTAGAGTCAGGTAGAGTCATGCCATACTTCCAGTGAACATTTTGGGTTTAGGGCTTGAGGTTCTCCTAGGCGCCCCTATACTGGGGTCTGAGGGGTGACCCCTAAACCCTATAAACTCTAAAACTTCAGGGCTTGGGGTTTCGGGTCAGGGCTTGTAAATGTTAATTCAGGGTAGAGGGTTTAGGCTTTAAACCCTAAACCCTCAAGCCCAGATAGATACACATTGTTTAGGGCAAAAGTTAACATGGAAACTCGCTCAAAGCCTGCTCGAAATTCGTTCAACACTCGGGACTTGAAGGTTAAACCCTAAACCCTAAAATCTTTAAACCCTAAAACCCAAAGCTCAAAACCCCACAAGACCCTTAAGCCCTGAATCCTAAAACACGTACAAGTTATACTATCCGAGGGCTGCTCAAGGGCTTGCAGGGCCTAGATTTGGCGAGTCCAAGCCTAGGTAAGCCTAACTCTGAGTCTCGAAGTCTATGGTTTAGGGCTTAGGGTGTAGGGTTTAGGGTTGGGTTCTAGGGGTTCTATGGGGGGTCAGGCAAGGAATAATTATGTAAGACCGGGTTCTAGGGGTTCTACGGGGGTTATATGAGGAAAATATGTAAGGTTGTATAAGGTTTAGGATTTGTAGGGTTTGAGGGGTTGGGGTTAGAAGTCTAGAGCTAGTTTTTCCATTTAAAAATAGTAGCTTCATTGGGCTACTTGGAGCCTCACGCTAAGCGTGGGAATCGATCCTTTTCCGGC